TCAATTGAAACTCAAAATTGAGAAAACTTGCACAGAGAACCTTTACATCTGATCTGTACAAAAAAGACAACTTCTATCTGCTTTTGGATCCTAAAATCAATATACATAATAATTGAAAATTTTGAGTAAATTAACACATATACCCACTTATTAATGAAGATCTAAGGATGAAAAGGATTAATAATAACATGTCAGCTTTTTGCATCAAACCATTAAATTTAAAAATCAGTAGAATGTTTGGGTCCATCAATCGAAAAGGTTTTATGCACAATTGAAGAAAATTATTGATTATCAAGTACAGGTAGTGATTGTGCAGAAAATAGAAAACTTCACATACCAAGTTTTTGGAATAGAACAGATAAGACTGCCAAAAGATGCTCATCTGGAATCTGATTAGATGAACAGAGAGTATTCTCAAAGACAGAACATAATGATTTTATTGCATCTGCTTCCTCAATTTCATGAAAATCATCATCAGAGGAGTGGTTTTCATCAATTAAAGAAGCTGGTAGATCTATATGATGGTTAATCAAGTCCTTCATGACAACTGAAGCCTGTGATGCTGTGTTAACCTCAGAAGTCAAAAGACCTACAAGAAAATTAACAATATAACCAAAAAAAAAAAACCTAAAATTAGAAGTTTAGTGTTTTTATTAGTGGAATTACACCATAGAAAACAACAGCATTAGCAACAGGTATTATACCACTAGAGGAGAGAAACAAACTGTATATCTCATGCAAGCTAAAATAGATTTATAGTCAAACAGCTTTAGAAATAAAGTTTTGCCACAAACATTAAAGAGACAAAATTTTAACAATAACTTCCACAAAGAGATAAAAATAACACTACCCTTTGGATTGAATTATTAAATAAAGCCTGAGATCAATCAACTGACACAATGAAGCGTCTATGAATTAATTAATCATTCTAGCAGAAACTTGCCTATTCATTGATTGTGCAGGTGAAAACTCAAAACTAACCAGTTCAAAAATCTCATCACAAGTGCCAAAAACTACTCCAAACATCTTGCAACAATGTAATGCCAATGGAAAAGATGAGTGGAGGTTTCTAAGAATAAAGCAATCTCAAGATCCATAAACACATAGAGCAGCGTACCAGCTATAGAACAAGAAACCAAAGAAAGATTCCTTATCCATGAGCTTGATTCTACAGTATGAACTTTGTCCAACAAGCTTTTTAACAAAGTTGCTGCAGATATCAAAGTGTCACCAGGATTCTTCTCTCCTTGAGATACATATGAAGCAAGGCAAACTACTATATTCTCTGCCTCCATGATAACAGCATCAAATTGTGAAATTCCAAAAAATACCTCAATGGTTTTAAAGACGTGCCTTGTAAGTGGAGAGAACTCAGATCTGATAAGCTTACATAGATTTGATAAAATTTTCGAACTGACTTTGACAGAAAGGAAGGGAACAGTAACCTTCAACACATTTAGAATATGGAGGACCTCCAAGTCTTCAGGCCTCAATGATATTTCATCTTTAGAATCATGTCCAGTCTGTGCAGTGCTCAAGGTAACTGCAACAGGCATGTGCTTCTTAAACAGGGAAAGGACCAATTTACTTGCCTCCTTAAGAACATTAGAGTGCGAGAAAGACTTAAAAACCTTCTCAAGACATTCTTGGGCACATCTTCGGACCTGAAGCATGAAAATCAGCAACTAATAAGGAACACAGAGCATCAAACTACATTACTTTCCCGTATTAATCACTACTACTAGGCGCTGACACTGTACAAAAGGGATTTTTTTTTTTAAAAATCCCTTTTGAGGGTACATCTATAACGCTATGTTGGACCTCAACCTCTAATAGTCCCCAAGCTAAGGCCACGTTTTCTCAAATCGCAATTCTTTTACTATAATTATCATAAATAATGTAGAAAGAAAAGGCATGCATCCCTGCCTATCAAAGTTCATGAATTCATCATAGAAGGATAAATTTTTTTCATAAATTTAGGAGAAATGCATACCTTTGGACGCTTATCCACTGAGAAGCTAAGAAGTGTCTCCAATCCTAAATGAACCGAATTCCAATCCTCCAGATCACAAAAACGAACAAGCAACATCCCCAAACATTTGACCGCACCCCTCACACTCGCCACCCCTAATCCCTCCTTACCCACCAGCCTCGCCATCACCTCCACTGCCTCCTTCGCCTTCCCAGACGCAATCCCCTGCGGCGGGATCATCGGCACAACAATAGACAAGAATGTGAGAAGCGCACCTATTGCCGTCGCATCCAGACTTTGGGAATCATCAAGTGCAGAGATAGCTGCAGCGAAGTAGGCCGATGGAGAGAGTGGGAGGGACTCGGAAGAGAGAATGGAGCGCATTGCGACAGCGGTGGCGAGTAGGTGGCGGTGCTGCGGTGCCGAGGATTTGGAGTATCGGTCCATGAGTTGTTGGCATATGTCCACGCCTTCCTTGAACGGCGTTTCCTTTTCATTTTCATGATCAATTTCATTTCTGGCATCGGTTTCATCGTGATTTTGAGTACTCTTCTTCTTCATGGTGGTTTGGGCGTTTGCGATAGGGGCTAGGGTTTAAGGCGGAAGTACTGGTTCGGGAAAACGGAGAAGAAGGGTTTAAGAATCGGGCACGGAATTTTGACGGATTGACCCGAGTTTGTATGGGCTAAACCCGGCATGTTTTGGGCCTCACAATGAAAGAAAGAAACCCATTGCCTGGGCTGGTCTCTTTCTTTTTTGATTTTTGAGCTTGGCCCAATGGCTCTTTTCTAAATGCTTGCTTAACAAATTTATGTAAGGCAAAACATGCAGATTAGCCCCTTAACTCGTCGACTTGTGGCAAATCAGCCCCTCAACTCAGGTCATGCACAAACTAACCCCTCAACTCATCTACAATGGCAAATCAACCCCTTTATTAAGCCTAACGTCATCAATCCGTTAAGTTTTAATGTTCCGTTCATTAGCCCTTCTTTTGCATCTTACTTGAATTGCTGTTGCTGAGATGGATGCTTTACTAGACAAATTGTCATCAAGCTCATCAAAGCTATTATTTACTTTTATGCCTTTAAATTGTTTGATCAAATGTAATTGGAGATCTAGGGTTTTGTTTCGGTTGTAGCTTTTATTGTCTTCTTCTTGTCAAAAGTCAAACTTTTTATCAGCAAGATCTGTAATTCATCAAGCATGGCTTCTTCATCAAGCTCTCAATC